AGATATAACTGGTCCAAAAAGCGAAAAAGACCATAAGCCTATGCGTCTTACGGGGCATGTTATAAGGGTCGACCGGCGAGGCGTCCGCAAGTACGGTCTGCCGGTGTACACATGCGGTGAGCTTCCTAGTTTTCCTAGGTTTTCCTAAGGTTTTCCCGGTCTTCCCAACTTTTTCTTGATTTCCCAATATCTTGGTTTCTGAGATTTTCTAAAGACTTCCTCCAGTCTTCTGCAGTTTTCTCGCATTTTCATCGGTCTTCCCTTACATTTTCTGGTCTCCCTTGCAATTTCTAGGTCTTTCCTAAAGTTTTTCCGGTCTTCCCATATACTTTTCGGTTTTCCGTCACATTTGTGGCCTACGATTTTATTGGTCTTCTTCGGTTTTCTTTAGTCTTCCTGGTGGTCTTTCCGGTCTTCCCAGTTTTCCGGGCGGCCAGTGTACGCGCTCGAACCTAGTTGCGGACCCCTCGTCGACCGGTGAAGCAATATAGAGCGATGTAATTATAGATCAAGTTGTAGCTACTAAATACATTCTACCGAAAAACAGTAGCGAGCGAGTTTTTTAGACTTTTTCGGTCACAAGCACTTGTTTTTCACGTTGAAAGGTGCCAAAAAATTGTCACATGGTTTCATTATCTTGAAGGGCAGCATTGATTTTGGATGTCGGTGAGGGGCGTCACCACAACTTGAGAAACATTAAAATTTCACTAAAATTGCGTCCTAATCGAGCAGTATTTAACAAATGTGTAAGGATCGATGAACATGTCACTGTTCGAGTTGAGATCGTAGGTGTTCACAGGTGTTCACCCCTAGAGCAGGTTGTGAAAAACAAAGGCCGCATTGGGCAAACATTGCGGAAAAATATAGGCAACGCCCTAAAAAGGGTGATTGAACAATTTAAAAAATAACGTATAAGATTGGGCCTACCTACATCAGGGTGGCGAAATGCCATACTATCACATCCTAGCAACCAAAGAACTAGTTGGATCAAAAAACACTTTTCAACGTGTACTCAGCCACGCTCGGCAAAGAATTTAAAGCGGAGAATTTAAAATTAATTTATATGACCTTTTCTAGTTTTTTCAGTTTGCCGGCTGCAATGATACTTATGATAGTTATTGCCTTGTAGCTCAACGTTTTCCGGTTTTCTATATCCTGGACGCGGATTTTTCCAACCCGCACTAATGAGACAAAGAATCAGAAGGGTATAGACCACTATCACAGTCTACTGGATGAGCTGAAGAAGCACAACATCGAACCGATGGTGAGTTTGAACAATGTTTAAGGTAGGCTTATGCAGCCGTTCGAACGTTTCGAACGGTGGAGCACCTTTTATACGATTGAAAGAGGTTAATGTTCTTCTATTCCCCCTTTTTGACCCGTCGGCCGTGGCAGTCGCTAGGTCGGGGAGGAAATTTGCAACCATGCAACCGTGTTACTGCAATAGAACACATCGTGCACATCGAATAACCACATAGTAGGGGAACTAAATCTATTGGTACCTGCTATCAATATGCGCTCAACGTATTCGCTCATCACCTCGGGCTTTAAACAGAACCGCTTACATGTACGGGTCCTACCCTTCACTCTACACAGAAGTGCTCATACGCTCCCAGCTAGAGCGCTCGTTTAGTTATGTTGCCCCTCGTACTTACCATAATATCGACCAATAACGGAGACTTTTACGGGGTATGGAACTTTAAATATAATGTTCCAGAACAGACAAAAGTATGTTACATTTTTTTTTCTTAGTAAGGTACTTCTTTAGAGCGCCGAGCGGACCAAGAAGAACATAAGCGGATACAGAGCGGTGGAGAGGGTGGGCGAGTGGAGGAGCGGCGGGTGGTAGGGGAGCCTTTCCCGAACCTTGAGGCGTTCGCGCTAAACGGGGATACCGAGGATCCCGTGGTTAACTTCCGAGCGCCGCCAGCGCCATTGTCGTAGGTCCTACCGTTACTCTGGGACATCCGGGTCGGGGGGCTGCGCTGCTGGTACTCTCGCCGCCTCTCGTGCCGCCTTACGCCGTTTCGCCTCCTGCCGCACTGTCTTCTACGGGTCCAGGAGCACTTCTACCCCGAAGATGATGGAGCGCCAGTCGTCGCGTTGTTGGGCCGCTGCTTTCCCCCGCTCCCACCACCGCTCTGTATCCGCCTTTGTTCTTCTTAGTTCCGCTACGCTCTCTACACTGTTAAACAAGCAGGCCTGCCCTTCCGCCAAACGCAGTTGCCAGCCCCACTTCGCTGCGCCGGCAACTCCGTTCGGTAGGGGCAGGGCCTACTTGGCCTGCCGGCGGCGATGGTCGGGCTAGCGGCCCGACCATTTCAGTCTCGCGATTTACTAAAGAACATAACCGAATAAATCATTTGACCGGTAAATCACTTTGCATATTTGGGTAAACTAACTTTCGGCGGGGGGCCTGCGGTCCTAAAGATTTGCTCTTTTCACATGACAAAGGACTGTAACGGGGCAACACCGTGACGACACCCCACCCTTCTGCTTTGCTGAAGAAAACTACAAAAATTCTAACGCTAACGCGTTAATCGGCCCCTGAAGTTTTAACGAACAATCGTATGCACACGAAGAAATAATCATTTAACTAATCACTTCAATAGATTCAGCGTTGAAAATTAGAAGACAGGGAAGTCGTCAAAACTTGATGGTTAGTGTTGTGGCTCTTCGTTCTGAAGTCACCACAATAACAAAACCAACAGCGAGGCAAGCGCCTTATAGAAACTACTTAGTGGGCATTCCCCGGCAATGGCAACTTTTACTCATAGTTACAATTATTCAAACACATGTCATTTAACCACCTCTGAAGTGCACGCGAAATCGCTAAAGAAGGAGTTATTAGACGTGGGTTGAACATAAAAGTGAGGAGAGTACATCACTCAATTTATCCAAAAACATGAAGCGAGTTCGTTTGCAAAGGTTGGTACCATTGTTAGAAGCCACGCCTCCTTTCTACCCAGGATTGTCGTAGCCACGCCCATTTCTAAACAAACTGTGCAGCTTTGATTTTAAATCGGTAGAAGTTGTGATTGGAGTATCTTATGGCATTGATTAAAAGCTTATTCGGTAGTTTAAGGAACGGTGCACAATCGGCTCGCTTACGTTACCATGTTTTAATTAACACTAACTGCATTAGAAATTAAAAACAAGACACGAAGAATAAGCGTAAATGTCGCATATTGTTCAGCTTGCTGTCGTTCTCGTCTGGAACGTCGCACGAAAATTTTGAACATATCGTTCGGAAGATTAATGTTCGGTCTTGAATTTTTGTCTTATACGTTTTACTGTTAAGTGAAAATGTAAGCCGCAGGGATCAACAGAAAGAATGCTAGAAGTGCGAACCATTGTTGGCTTGGCAGGATTTTGCCAATTTTCGTGATAATTTCGATGTTTAACTTTAATTTTCTCAAAATTGGCCAGAAGGATTGTAATGAGGCTATAGTCAAATGAAATCTAATTTTTGGATTGATTTTTCGATAAAATTTTATAAGAATCTGTACAACAGAAGTCGCGGTACCTTAATGAATGAGGGAAAGAAAAATAGAATTTCCTCGCACGCGAGCAGAAAGGCCCCCTTGGGGGGCCCTAAAAAAATGAACCAGCGCAGTTTTTAGATTTTATTGTTTGTCAAACAGTCTTAAAACGTGACTTTTTCCCATTGTGTTCAATGCATCCACCTCTAGGGTCGAAACAGTGAAAAATACGGCAAATAAGAGGGTAGTTCCTGATTCAGAATGTGTCGTTTTGGGGGGTACTTTCTTTGACATTTTACGATTGGACGCCTCTTTGTACGTCTTTAAGTGCAAAATGGTCATTTTCACCGTATTTTTGTTGGAACAAACAGGCACGCCCTTCCGCCAAACAACTCCGTTCGGCAGGGGCCGGGCCTACTTGGCCTGCCGGCGATGACGGTCGGGCCTGGGGCGCCGCTACTACCAACCCTTCTGCTTAGAAAACGGTTTTTGGGATGGGGGGGACGGAGTTTCTTTCCTCTTTTGTGGTTTTGGGCCTTCTTTTACAACTTTTTGTTCACTACAGCAATTTGAAGCTTATTTTCGTCAAAAAAGACTCTCCAGCGCCTTAACGGCAGAGCATAGCAAAAAGGCCTCCTCTGACCGACCGAGCACCCGAGTCGGGCAAAGGGCACAGTCGTAAATAGGCCTTCGGCCCCAAAAGTCACTTATCATGTTCCTCGAGGTGGCAGTTTGATTAGTTACTCCACCGGACACCATAAAATATCTGAGAGTTAACATCAAAATGTTTCGGGGTCATTTCCGTGCGAAAAACGCCCTCTGGCGCCCAAACGGTTAAAGAGCCAAACGTTCAAAATTTTCGCCCTAAGAGTTCTACTGTGACGAGTTACCTCTAAGAAAGATGTGGAAAAAATATTTTCTTAAAGAAATGTTTTAGGTTTTTTGTTAATGATTTTTTGACACGTTAATTTTTGAGCCAGAGGGCTCAAAATCAATACAGTTCTTCCTTTTTATGATACGAAGCTACGATGAAAATAAGAGTCTCCTAGCTCAAACCGTTATCTAGTTATCGTGCGAACAGACAGACAGACAGACAGACGCAAAACTTTTTGATCATCACTGGAGTAATAGGCTTCGCTAATCGCTCAGCCAACTTTGAAGATCATAAAAGTAACAATCTTTCTAACTTTTTTGGCCTTTCCTGTTTTCTTCGATATCCGCTTTCAGCCCCTTAGGGATGGTTGGCAGGATTTGCCGTAGGCGTTCTTTTTTTTTTTGGGAGTGAACCTTGAGATCCCCTGAAAATTTGAAGTCACTAGCACATCTCCTTTTTGTGGAACAGACAGACAGACACACAAACAGACACACAGACAGACAGACACGAGGTCGTTTGTATTTCAAAGCAGAGGGGTGGGCTAAAAACAGTCTGACTGTAAAACTAGGTAGGTGTACGCCAGACCACGTCTCGCGTAACAGGCTTCGCGATATCTCACGAAACACTGTTACGCTGCGACGCGCCTGGCATCCATCTACCTAGGCCTGCGGCACTGACACCGGAGTCCGGCAAAAGGCACGGTCGTAAATAGGCCTTCAGCCCCAAAAGTCACAAATTTTGTGCCTCGGGGTTTTACTTTGACGTGTTACCCCACCGGAGACCATAAAATATCTAAGTAAAAACATTGAAGTCTTTTGGGGTGATTTTCGTGTGAAAAACTCCCTCTGGCGCCCAAACGGTTAGAGATAGAGCCAATCATACAAAATTTTGGCCCGAAGGGTTCTACTTTGACAAGTTCCTTCTAAAAAGATGTTTAAAAAAATATTTTTTTAATGAAATGTTTTGGGCTCTTTGTTTTTGATTTTTTTGACACGTCAGTTTTTGAGCCAGAGGGCTCAAAAACAATACAGTTCTTCCTTTTTATGAAACAAAATTACAATAAAAATTTGAGCCTTCTACCTCAAACCGTTCTCGAGTTATCGTGCGAACAGACAGACAAACAAACAAACAGACAGACGCGAAACTTTTTGATCATCACTGGAGTAATAGGCTTCG